CAGAATTTCATGGAATTGTAGATATGTAAATGACAATCCTATCACAACTGGTATTAAAGAAAGTGTGGTTCAGTCAGGCAGATCTGTTCTTCAAAATATCATTCAAATGGCTTCACTTTTCCCAAGGACAGGTGAGACTAGAAACAAAGAACCTAAGAGGCCTGGTGAGTGGCCAGGACTCCAGCATCTTCCCCACTGACTAAAATAGCCTCACTTTCGGCAAGAATATACAATGGAAAAAAGACAACCTCTTTAACAAGTGGTGCTGGGAAAACTGGTCAATCACTTATAAAAGAATGAAACTAGAACACTTTCTAACACCATACACAAAAATAAACTCAAAATGGATTAAAGATCTAAATGTAAGACCAGAAACTATAAAACTCCTAGAGGAGAACATAGGCAAAACACTCTCCAACATAAATCACAGCAGGATCCTCTATGACCCACCTCCCAGAATATTGGAAATAAAAGCAAAAATAAACAAATGGAACCTAATGAAACTTAAAAGCTTTTGCATAACAAAGGAAACTATAAGCAAAGTGAAAAGACAGCCCTCAGAATGGGAGAAAATAATAGCAAACGAAGCAACAAAGGATTAATCTCAAAAATATACAAGCAACTCCTCCAGCTCAACTCCAGAAGAATAAATGACCCAAGCAAAAAATGGGCCAAAGAACTAAACAGACATTTCTCCAAAGAAGACATACAGATGGCTAACAAACACATGGAAAGATGCTCAACATCACTCATTATCTGAGAAATGCAAATCAAAACCACAATGAGGTACCATTACACGCCAGTCAGAATGGCTGCTATCCAAAAGTCTACAAGCAATAAATGCTGGAGAGGGTGTGGAGAAAAGGGAACCCTCTTACACTGTTGGTGGGAATGCAAGCTACTACAGCCACTATGGAGAACAGTGTGGAGATTTCTTAAAAAACTGGAATTAGAACTGCCATATGACCCAGCAATCCCACTTCTGGGCATACACACCGAGGAAACCAGATGTGAAAGAAACACGTGCACCCCAATGTTCATCGCAGCACTGTTTATAATAGCCAGGACATGGAAGCAACCTAGATGCCCATCAGCAGACGAATGGATAAGGAAGCTGTGGTACATATACACCATGGAATATTACTCAGCTGTTAAAAAGAATTCATTTGAATCAGTTCTAATGAGATGGATGAAACTGGAGCCCACTATACAGAGTGAAGTAAGCCAGAAAGATAAAAACCATTACAGTATACTAATGCATATATATGGAATTTAAAAAGATGGTAACGATAACCCTATATGCAAAACAGAAAAAGAGACACAGATGTACAGAACAGAATTTTGGACTCTGTGAGAGAAGGCGAGGGTGGGATGTTTCAAGAGAACAGCATCTAAACATGTATATTATCTAGGGTGAAACAGATCACCAGCCCAGGCTGAATGCATGAGACAAGTGCTCGGGCCTGGTGCACTGGGAAGACCCAGAGGAATCGGGTGAAGAGGGAGGTGGGAGGGTGGATAGGGATGGGGAATACATGTAAATCCATGGCTGAGTCATGTCAATGTATGACAAAAACCACTGCAATATTGTAAAGTAATTGGCCTCCAACTAATAAAAATAAATGAAAAAAAAATAATAAAATAGCCTCACTTTCATCTCTTTAATATGTTGAAATTATTATGAACCAAAACAAAGAAGAAACAACAAGCAAGATGATTTTAAAGGCCCTGATGATTCCTTCATTCTTAGGGCAGAAACAAAGTTATTACATTAATTGTATACTGCAATAAGAGGGAAAAAAGTTAAAACTTCTCATATCTCTGACCCTCTCCACTTAGCTCCATTTTTTAATACCTAGGAATGTGCTGGCTAAAATATGTCCCGAAATTCTTAAACAACTTTAGGGAGCACCATTTATACCAAAGAGAGTATCAATGATGTTCCCTGGAATGTACCACTTAGTGGCCCCGAAAAAGATGTTCTTAGAGAGGGCCTGTGTTTGAATTTTAGCTCTACCACTTGAGGACAAAGGCTATATGACCCTTGGCAAGTTATTTACTAATCCCTCTGATCCTATTTCCTTCTCAGTAAAATAGAGATAATAAATTGCATTTCCAAAGGCTGGTGTAAAAACTAAATGAGATAACATATGTACAGAACGGAGGTGGAGGACAGCATACCAACACTTATCAGTTCTCTAAAATTAACAAAATCTATCACATTTCACAGAGGGGAAAAACAACCACGTCTAGCACTTGTGGCCCATACCGTAAGGACAGACCAGAAGATTTTTGAAACTTGGAATAGATCTCACCTGTTGAAGCTGGGGTTGGTACCCTAAAAGTTAAAGGTGTCAGAATGCAGCGACCCAAAAACCACACAATTTTTCTGTCTCTGAATTGTGATAACTGGCAGAAAGGAAGCCTAATCAGCATGCTAATTAGCCAGGGTGTGCTGGTACAACTGTTATCAAGGAAAGACAACTGTTTAAATAAGACAGGCTGTCCTCATCAAGGACTACGCGCTGCCAACAAAATACAACGTGCTTAGTTCCAGCATTTTGGCCTTCCTTGGGAATCTAGAACTAGGCAATATCTAACTGCACTAAATCTTCTATCGGATTATTAAATTAAGCAGTGATTAACATATACAATAAAGCCATACCTCACGAATTATAGATTCTCAAATGACAGGCCTGCCAGATTTTAGAACTCATTTAGACTAACCTCCACATTTTACATCAGGGAAAACACGGGTCTCAGGAAGAAGAGAGACATGGTCACAGAGGTGGAGTCAATTCTGGACTTGGTCTCATGAACTTTTTCTTACAACAGGAAATCAGTCTTCAGTTTTATGCACCACACAGACCAACAATTTAACACTGAATATGCAGATTCTTGTCTCAACTCAGCATAATTTGGGGTTCACAGGGTGGTAGAAGATATCAAAAGACTGGGTCAATGACAGAAGCAGCTGGCAGGCTGCAGAGCGTGGGACGTGACCCAGCAAGCACACATGCAACAATGCATATGGAAAGGCTGTTAGGGACCTGCCAGTCTGGGGTTTGAGTGGTGGCGATTAGGGTTTGTTAAGGGGCCAACTATAGAATAATTCCACATCCAGGATGTAGAGAGTGACTAGCTCAGAGTGGATACTCAGTACCTACATACTGTGTGACTGGCAGATGAGCCAAGAGTGAATGAAGGAATGAAAGGGCTGGTTCTGAGAGAAGCAATGAGAGCTTCAGGGACAACAGGGAAGAGGGCTACCCAGTGCTGCCCCTTAGGGGAGGAGGAAGGGAAGTTCCCAGAGCTGTCCTCAACCTTCGCAGGACACTGGAATGAGTCTGTCCCCTCCCCCGACCCACACGCCCTGCTTCCGCCTCCCATTTCCATTCTGAGGAAATGCAGTCATCCCCAGGGAACCACTCCTGCTTCTGATGCTCTCTGCCTCCCGGATGGCACCTGGAGGAGTGGAATGCTCCAGGGAAGTCTGTCTCCAAGGGCAACAGAAATTTCAAATCCATATGTCACACTGTTTTTTTAGAGGAGACTCTGCTCAAGTGCTAGCTAGGCAAGCAGCTGACCATACTACACTGCTACCGACGGGGAAAATGTTTCATAGCCTAAGATCAGGAAGCAAATTTGATTCTAGGATGATGTAGAAAATCCTAATGAAGAATGAGGGAAAGCTGGAATTTCCTTGCCAATTTTCCATTCCCTGAAAACGTGGCCATCTGTGGTCCTCAGCCTGGGTCCGCTGACCTTTGGCCAAGTGTGTTAAGGCTGGACTTTCAAAGCACAATTCACTGAACAGCATTGGTGGCGTAGACGAGAGAGGGTTCTACCTCATTATATCTTTCAATAGTAAGAGGTCAGTGTTTGACATTTCCTTTTCTTTCAACATCTGTGTCTAACGGGTTTTTCACTTTTGTTCCATAGGATGCAGCCACATTGAAGAAAATACGCACTCATCACCTCTTCCGTTTTTCTAGGACTAAATAAAGAAGCTATAACACAAAGGTCTGCATCAGCATTTGAGAGACTTTTCAAGCTTCATATGATGTGAGCAACTTCCTCTGTCAGAGGCACACTGACACTTTAGTGGATAATAATGAAGTACTGACAGCGTTTTCTCCCACCACATCAAGTGGACTGATGGCAAAGAGTACGCATAGCAGCCATTGGGACAGGATGATGGATTCTGCCTCATGTTCGCATGAAAGATATATATAGCCCAAGGGGAAAATGTAATGTCTCTAATGTGACCTTCACTTGACATTTGATTAAGACAAAGTTGGTACTTTTTTTTTTTTAGAAGATGCTTTCAAAACCAGGAGAACATACCAGTGAGAAGACCAATGATATACCACTCTTCCTCAACTCAGAGTGACTGGCAAGGCTTTATACTTTTAGCAGTTTCAATTCTCTAAAAAGAAATGCCACCTAGAAGAAACGTGCTAAGCACCCTCTAAACATTTCTCATTAACTTGCCCATACTGGTACTTGCCCCTATAAGGCTGGCTTACAGCTCTCATCCTAAGTCAGCTCTGCGTGCCGTTTAAGGAATAAACGAGAGACTGGTTGCTATTTGAGAGAAAGGAACTAGATCTGTAGGAACAGATATCAATAGTTGTAAAACATCATGAGAAATACTAGGAAAAAAGCAACTCTAAAAGTTTCCTGTGATGAAATGATAGAAACGGTAGAGAGGAAACCAAATGCACAGGTTTTTCTAATGAAGGGACAGGCTTCCTCTCCTGGTACAAATAATCTTAGCTAAAGGGTTAATTCCTTTAAAAAGATCGGTTTTTGGATAAGAGTGAAAACACTGCCACTGTTTCTTTAGCATACAAAGAGCTCCCAGAATGGTCCTCAGGCGGTCTAGCTCTGAGCATCCGATTCTTTTTTCTGGTCTTTAATTATGCTGCTGACCACCTCTTTATGTAAAAGAGAGTGGAAGGAAACAGACAGCTAAAGTCATTCAAACGCCCACTCACCTCCCATGATCTTGGACTGGCAGTTAATAAACTCCGGCTTCCTGTCTGTGAGGTAGCGCTGGCAGGTGTGGTGGAGGATCTGGAAGAAGGTACATTTTTCTGAGGCTGTGCTGGCTACCCACTGGTCAAAGGCATTTTCAAACAACAAATCAAACTCTGCAGAATCCTGGAAAAGACATTGAAAGAACGAATGACCTCCAGCTATAAAAACTGCTGCTTCCAGTTTACCATATTAAGACTCATAGAGGCTAAAATACCTTTCCGAGACTTTGTTCCTAATCACAAGGTCCATCTTGATTAGCACCAAGGGGCACAGAGAGTCCACCTTTCTCTTTTTATCAAGCAGACCTCAAGTCTCACAGTGTTTTGAGATGTCCCCAAGAAGCTAAGAGCACAGAAGTCCCTTTAGCTTAACCGCATATCAACTTGTATCATATTTCAGACTACACATGGTCTTTCCCATTACTCAAAAAAGTATTACTTCAGGTTCCTGGCACTGAACAATATTAACCTTGTCCCTAACCTTTGGTAGGGAAAGATTATCCCTTATTATTGTAGTGTACAGTTACATTTTACATTTCATTTTTCCTCATCATTGATATATCTTATGGTTAGTGTGTAGCAAAGGGAATTTACTTGAATACATAACTCTACAATGAAATGCTTTATTTATTAAATCCAATGGAATTCTAATACATCATTTTTAAGGTGCAGTTCATTCATTTGATTTTTGGTAAATAAACCTCATCCCTGATTGCATTAAGAGATAGATGGAACTTTGATGAACATGGTTTTTCATATTGATAATCACAGATGGGATTATCTGAGCTCTGCATTTGGTACTTTGCTCTTTGCATTGGAGGCAGTTAGCATTTCTTCAATATGCATATCTTTTGGTGCCTCTGTCCAACATGATGAAAAGATTGGTAATTTCCCATAAGACAGGCACAGGAATCAGAAAGTCTCAGCCATATAACTGAAACAGAGAAATAGCCTTGTCAAAAACGACTCAGACACCCTCCACTCTGCCAAGGTCAGTGAGAGAGTCACTGTGGGGAAAGGACACCTCAGCTCAGCACTGGACAGCTCACTCACCCGATTAGGATCGATGCCGTTAACCTGGCGAAGCTGCTCGAGCATCCACTGTGACCGTCGCACAAATGACGTGGAGCCTTCGAACTGCTTGACCTTCGTAATCGATGCCTGTGTGGGTTTCTTGTTGGTCACTGCCAAGAAAAGACCACTCTGATCAGTGAGTGTGCAGGGTGCGTTGGATTCCCATTCACAGCTGTTTCTAGCATATACCTACATGCATATGTGCAATAAAAGAAAGAAAAAATGACACATTTGTGTGTGTGTGTGTGTGTGTAGACAGATAAATATACTTGTGTGTGTATATATACATGTGTATCTGTGTGAATATGGGGAGGAAGAGAGAGGGAGAGGTAAGTGCAGAGACAGAAGCAGAGAAAAACAGAAAATGAATGAATATGTGTGCCTTTAGTGAGAGGCGAACTCAAAAGGAACAGAAGTTATAATCTGCACCCTTGAGCAGTTACAAGATAATTGTAACTGTAAGGGCAGCTTCACTGATGTTTTCATCCACTCACATTGAACATGACAGGGACAGTTAATAGCAAGCCCCTCTAATGGAAGCTCCAAATGCACGATGGCTAGCAGGGAAAGCGGCACAAAGGCCTGAGAGCAGCAGGCTGGGGTGGCTGGGAAAGGCTACCCTTTAAAGATGTATTGTACAGGTTCCCCGAGGCAACTACAACGCATATTTCTAATGCTATAGTCCAGTGTAAGTATTCCAGGCTTCAGTGATAAAACAAGAAATACCTCATTCAAAAACAAACAAAAAACCCCCAAACAAACAAAAAAACCATTTGGCTTTATAGTTCAGTTCAGTTGCTCAGTCATGTCCAACTCTTTGCGACCCCATGGGCTGCAGCATGCCAGGCCTCCCTGTCCATCACCAACTCCCAGAATCTACTCAAATTCATGTCCATCGAGTCAGTGATGCCATTCAACCATCTCTTCCTCTGTTGTTCCCTTCTCCTCCCTCCCTCAATCTTTCCCAGCATCAGGGTCTTTTCAAATGAGTCAGTTCTTCACATCAGGTGGCCAGAAGTATTGGAGTTTCAGCTTCAACATGGGAGTTTCAGCTTCAACATAAAATATAGTGAGTTTGTATCTAATCTGCATCTGATTATAGCCCCCGCCCCTCCACATATGAATTCCTTAAGCTACTATAACTGCAGGCCTGCGGCAGTTCCTCCTCCCGTTTCAGGCAGTTCTCCCTTCCACGCTGAGGATGGCCCTTCTCACCTCTCAGACTGAGGTCAAGCACCAGCCAGCAGGACAGAGTCACTCTGAATACTTGCCTGTCTGCTTACTTCTTGACTTAGAGCCTCAAGGGAGGGGAGGTAATTAAATATTTTTAAAGGATTTTCCTCAAAGCGCCTCCTGAGCTCTGGCTATAGGAATTGTAAGTTTAAATAGAACTGATGCCATTAAAGGAAGCAGGAAAAGTGGAAAGCACTCCTCGTAATGAATGCAATCCTAGTAAGCCTGTACCTCAATGCTACATTCTTTCTTACTTTCAAAGCAGCCCACAGATCCCACACTTTGAAATAACCATGCAGTGCTCAACAGATGGCAAAACAAATCCTTGCAGGATGAAGGACAGAAAGTACCTATGACAGTTATGGTTGGTGGTAAGAAGGCTCTCCTTCACACACAGCAGAGTTTATCACAGCTTCAGTGTCTGGGGTCATTTAGGCAGGAAAACAGTGATCTAGAGGGGAAAGTGACCAAAGATATATGGGCACCCCGCCTTTAGGTGAGAACCCTATGGTCTAGGACTGGGATGTTTTTAGGATCTCAGTCCAACCTTCTCTTTTTGTTTCTAACCAGAATTTAGCAAACATTTTTTTTTTTAAATTTCAAATAATGCTTAGGTTTAATGCCCATTATTCAGTTATATTTTGGCTAAATGCTTATGAACATTTCACACCAACTGCATTTACTTTCATGGTTAAAAAAATCATCATCCCTTAAACACCCAAGATCAAGGAAATGTTATTGTGTTCCATCCACAAATGGCCTGTCTGGCCTACAGTTCCACATATAAGCCTGGTTAAGTCCATGAGGAACAACCATTCCCCCCACTAAATTCATGCAGTATTACCAGTCTACCCAGGGCTGTCTATCCACTTAATTCATTTATTTTGTGTGTCTATGTGACACAGAAGGGGCTCTCCTAAATTTCTCTGATAGTCATACCCTGCTCTGCTGTTTTAATAGCAAAGGAAACAACACCTGGAATATATGTGGGTCCTAAAATGTGCTTAAAAGATTAAAGAATGCTTTGCAATAACAGGAAAACATGGGTTCCTGTATTAGACCCACACCCCTAAACACACAAAGAGGATTTCCTCCTTTGTTTATGTAAATACCATGACATTTAGGCATCCTGGGAAACATAAAGGTTTTCCTTCTGACTTCAGTTAATTCTTATTTTTATTACTGGTCCACTTATTTCCAACTAGTTTACAGCATTATAAAAGTTCAAACATAATTCATGATGGTTGTAATTATTGGCATGTTTGGGACTGACATTTTAGGAAAGCAATTTCCATTGGAAGTTTGTCACTGAAGATGAGAAGGGCAGGAACTCCACCCACCCAACAAATGCCCCATGGGATTGTTCAAGAGCGAATCACATTGCTTCATGGTCATTTTTAACAGAGGCAGATATGACTTCATCCAATCCTGCTTTTTTTTTACCCTCTATTAGTTTACTCCTTGCCCAGTTCTTGGAATCTGATAATTTTCCTGGGCACTGAGCCCGGTTTAGTTTAATTTTTGTTTAGTGTTATTATCTCCAACATCCCACTTTCTATTTTGAAGCAGATGCCTTAAAATTATATTATTATATACACATTATATAGAATTAAATGAAGACTTCCCCCTTCTGAAATCAAAAAACTTGCACAATCATGCCATTGCCAGACTTTCTCAGTTCTGTGTTTGAAGAAGCCATGTTTTAACCCCTTTCTATTTTCATGTTTTCTGGATCCACAGCTGCTAAAAGTCAGTCAGTCAGTCAAATTCCAGATGTCTAGCGAAAACAGCAATTCAGCTTCTCCTTCCCAAGGAAAGCTAATTTACAGCATACTCTGGAAAATGCAACCAAATGATCTGGATCAGTACCGCTGTAGGGTAGATTTCATATTCATTATTTTGAAAAACTTTAAAGGTGAGATAATCAGGGCATTTTGTCATAGCTTCGTCATTCATGAAGAAAAGGTAAATATACAAGCATTTAGAGAGGGTATGATGATATTCCCAGGTAATACTGCAGACCAACCAGAATCAGCCCCATCCCCTAATTTTCCACTCCAACCCACACATCAAAATCACCTGGGAGTTTTACAACAAAAATACCCAACACTGTCAGTCAGAATCTTTGGGGATGTAACCCTGGCATCCATATTTTAAATCTTTCCAGTTGACTCGGAGGCACTTTGAGTGCTAAGAGCCACTGAACTATGTGCTTACTCATTTAACAAATATTTATGGAGCACTTATTAGATGGAAGATAAAGAACAAGTTTTGAGGATTTTGAGGATTTTTCAAATATTAAGAAAGAAGTGGTTCTCAATTAATAACTGTGGTGAGGAGGAGGTAAGAATGATGCTACAGAGAATAAAGCATAATAGAATATATAACACAGGAGTCATCTGAGATGTATGTGGGGGGGATTTAAGGACCAAAGTAGAGCTGAGGAAAGTCAGGGAGGTTTCATGAGGCAGCCACATTCTGGGCAATATAACTGTGATTTTCCCCAAATTGGCCTTCTAACCAGCTTGACCATTCAAACTGGAGTACATATGGCAGAATCATCTTTTAAGAACTCCTTGCCAAAGCAATCTTGAGAAAGAAGGACAAAGCTGGAGGTATTATATGCCCTGAGTTCAAACTATACTACAAAGTTATAATAATCAAAACTCTATGGTAGTGGCACAAAAAAAGAAAGAAAGAAAAAAAAAAACAGACACAAAGATCAATGGAACAGGATAGAATCTAGAAATAAACTCATGTATATATGGTCAATTAATTTCAACAAGGGATCTAAAAATATACAGTGGGGAAAAGTTAGTCTCTTCAATAAATAGTGTTGGGAAAACTTCCATCTTGCATCCACATGCAAAAGAATAAAACATCATTTACAAAAATAAACTCAAAATGAATTAACATCTTAAATGTAATACCCGAAACCATAAAACTCCTGGACAAAAACATAGGCAGTATACTCTCTGGCACTGGTCTTAGGAATGATGTTTTGGATCTATTTTCTTAGGCAAGGGCAACGAAAGCAAAAATAAACAAATGGGACTACAAAACTAAAAAGCTTTTGCAGAGTGAAGGAAAACATCAACAAAATGAAAAGGAAACTTACTGAATGGGAAAAGATATTTGCAAATGGTATCTCTGATAAGGGATTAGTATTAAAAATATATAAAGAACTCACACAACTTGGTATCAGAAAAACAATCCATTTAAAAAATGGGCAGAAAAAGGTGAAGTTGATTGTTTTGGGGTGAAACATCCTATAGATGTCAATTAGGTCTAGCTGGTCCATTGTGTCCTTTAAAGTTTGTGTTTCCTTGTTCATTTTCTGTTTAGTTGATCTATCCATAGGTGTGAGTGGGGTATTACAGTCTCCTACTATTATTGTGTTACTATTAATTTCCTCTTTCATACTTGTTAGCATTTGCCTTACATATTGCAGTACTCCTATGTTGGGTGCATGTATATTTATAATTGTTATATCTTCTTCTTGGATTGATCCTTTGATCATTATGTAGTGTCCATCTTTGTCTCTTTTCACAGCCTTTATTTGAAAGTCTATTTTATCTGATATGAGTATTGCGACTCCTGCTTTCTTTTGGTCTCTGTTTGCATGGAATATTTTTTTCCAGCCCTTCACTTTTAGTCTGTATGTGTCCCTTGTTTTGAGGTGGGTCTCTTGTAGACAGCATATATAGGGGTCTTGCTTTTGTATCCATTCAGCCAGCCTTTGTCTTTTGGTTGGGGCATTCAACCCATTTACATTTAAGGTAATTATTGATAGGTATGGTCCCGTTGCCATTTACTTTATTATTTGGGGTTCACGTTAATACCACCTTTCTGTGTTTCCTGTCTAGAGAAGATCCTT